CCTAACCTACCCCAACCCAACCCTAACCTACCCCAACCCTAACCTAACCTACCCCTAACCTAACGCAACCCAACCCTAACCTAACCTACCCCAACCCTAACCTAACCTAACCTAACCTACCCCAACCCTAACCTAATCTAACCCAACCCTAACTTAACCCAACCCTAACCCTCTAAAGGTTCTAACAGGTGCTGATCCAGACATCCTTCACAGAACAGTTTATTCTAAAAAACACTGGAAAAGTGTTTTTTTTCTTATGGTTGGTGACACTACACTTAATTTGCATATTTAATCATAAAATTTCAGAACTTGTAAAACAAGAACTAATTGTCTCATGGTTTGTCATCAGCTGCTGAGGTTTCAGGTTGATACCTGTGAACATGTGACGTCATTCACCTGCAGCAGTGGAGACGTGCCTGGAACTGATGAGACTGACTTCTCTGTACGTCTGTCCCATAAACCCTGAACAGCCCATTGTTCCAGTTAAACAGAGCAAAGTGCTTGAAATATTTACTTTTATTAGACTCTTATGGTGAAAACAGCGTGAAGCGAACAGACAACAGACAGGTGAGGAGCTGCTGATCTTCTGTGTGAGCGCTAACTACAAACTGAGAAGCTGCTGCTGTGGCGTCGGTCTCAGCCACTGACTCCTGATGTATTCAGTCGTTGTTACAAACACACGGCGGTTCATGGAGCCACTGAGCAGCACAGTTTGGGGTTTGTCTCACAGAAAGGCTCCAGGATTGGCTCGAGGATCTTTGGTGTTCCTGTATCTGTGGGTGAGCCAAACTCCCAGGATCTGAAAGGAACCACAGACGAGCAGGTGTCAGTCTTCATGCCAACACATCTGCACCCGCCTCACATCTGTCACATCTCCACTGCTGTACTGACCTCCGTGAAGCTGAAGAAGAGGCCGATGCCACCCACGAACTGCAGCACCTGCCCGGCGTATTGCTGGATCAGGACTGAGCAGGGGTCACAGGACGGAGACGGGCTGTTGAAGCAGCTCTGAAGATGAGAGGGGAGTAAAATCTGTGAAAATCGTCTTCCTGCTGTGAAGAACATACAGGTAAGTTCTAGATGTTCTACTCACTGCAGCACACGAGCCGTTGTAGTTGACATGATAGAAGCCGCAGCAGTTGAGCGTCTTCTCCACGTCCTTCTGCGTGGCCTCGGATTTGTTCCATCCGACCTCCAGCAGACGGTTCTGTAGTTGGAAATCACAGCTGTTTGTGTCTGAGCTGATGAAGCTCTCAGATGAAGCTCCGAACAACCAGTTGGGCTTTCTGCTTGCCAACAAACGGACCAATAGTCGTCTAGCTCTATCTTTGCACAGTAGAATTAATTCCTGGAGCTGCTTCTGCTAACTCTAAAATGTTTCAACCACAAGAACCACCAAAGGTTCTGCTGTTGGCTGCAAGAGTGAACACAACAGTCTCCATGAACTCCCAGCATCGGAGGAACTAATCACTCAGTGGATTACGGTTAATACTGGTTGACCTATCACCAGGACAATAGGAAAACCCTTGGTGTGAATGCGTTAATGTGGCTAACGGTAGCTTGGACATTGTGCCCACAGGTCAGAGGTCTGTGGAAACTGGTGGAAACTAACTTGAGCCAATAAGCAAAGACTGGGTGGATTACTGAGTTTATTTTGCCTGTTGTGCTTCAGTTCCACCAAAACTCAGCTGCTGTTTCCATCTGGTAGCTCCTCTCCTGCTCTCTGTGTTCATATATTCTGCATTTTAATGCAGCTGTTCTCATTCACAGATTTTTCTGTTTCTGCTGTCAGACAGCAGAACACGTATGCAACAGTGTGTGAAACGCAGCCCATCATGCATCGTGTGAAAGGAAGCGGAAAGACGAATGAGAGTGTAAAAACTTTACATTGAAAGTAATTTCCCGTTTATGTTTTGTTAAATTTTATTTTACCCGTGTCTTAGCCACGCAATAAACTGAATTTAATGTGTTTGCTCTACGCTGCTACGGCACAAATCACGGCTAGCAAGCAACGTAATTATTAGCTCATGTAGTGTCCGAAATGTAAGTTTGCCGAGGTGTTCCCTACACAGTTCCTTATATAGTTCCCCATATAGTTCCCTACAGGCAGTGAGTGGACGGTCAGCTCGGGGCTCACAGGTGCGATCTGTGACAGAGTCTTCTTCCTGAAGTAGGCGGGGCCAGCAGCAAGGCAACCGCATTTAAAGCTACAGCAGTAAAAGCAGGAGGTAAACCATGGTGGTGAATTTAACCGTTTATGTGCTGTTCTGAAAGAAACAAGGAGCTGCATAAAGTCCATGCAGTGAACTGACTGGTTTCTGTCATAAATGAGTTCTTTACGTACATGTGTGAGCACAGAGGAATGAACGTACCTGTTGGTCTTTGTTGAGGGCCAGACACGCACAGGACACTGAAAACTGCAACACAAACACTGCGAAGAGAATAATCATGTACTGGACCGAGCTGAGGAAGTTAACCGAGCTGCTGCTGCTAGACAAGAACCAGTACATCGCCGGTCCAACAAGGAGCTCTGGATGAAGGATACAAAGAAGAGCAGGACCTGGTGGTGCTTCAGGGCGCCGCACAGCCCCACAAAGGCCACCATGAACAGGAAGACGCCCACGCCGATGACCCCTGCCACCACCCTGATGCTGGACACCAGGCCGAACCATTTGCCCCAGGCCGCCACGCCGATCAGCAGCAGGCTCACCAGCTGAGGAGCAGACGTTGGCATGAAAGAAGGAAGCAGAGGAACATCCTCTCTGATGAGGTCTGGGAGGGACGGCAGCACTGGAGCGTGCCGGCCTACGGTGAAATAAATCCGTTTGCTCTCCAAAGCACTGCTGACGACAGCCTGAACCGAATGGTTCGGCTGTTCTCCTCCTCTGATGTGTCCGTCCTCAGATTTAGGAGGACAACGAAGCTCTTGATTCAAACCTTTCACCTCTGTCCCGTCAGGACTGCAGAAAACCAACGTTTATGTTTTTAATTGTTGTTTTACAGATTTTCCATTTTCAATGAATGTACAGATAATAACTGCTGACGTTACCTAAAAAGCTGTTTATTTACATGTTAACTGTAAAAAAAACTCAAAGAACCGTCCAATAATGTCCATGTGTCACATCAACAATGTAGATTTTTATAATAGTAATTTGTTCCTTTACAACATTGGACCAAAATATGACCTTTTAAAAAAAACTTTATTTAAATTAGCAAAACGTTTTCTTGCTAAACATTTTTAACTGTTATTGTACTGATTATTTTATTTCAGATATATGTAGAGAAGATTTGGTGAAGCAAAATAAGCCTCATAAGTTCAACATGAAGGTGACATAGAAGCACCTGGTAGCTGCACATAAATACACCTGAAACACCGAATCTACTGATGAGGCCACATCATCCTTATCACACCTGTCACACGTGGTTGTTAGAGGCCTCACCAGCAGCTCAAGTGTTGATCAAATGCTGTATTTCTAGTAGGAAATGTGGACACGCCAACACATGTGCAGACAGGAACTCTGGCAGGAAGTTTTCCCCATTTTCAAGTAAGTAAAAATGTGGACCTGCTGGAAACTATTCTGCCCTGTTGTCAACCAAACACACACACACACATATATATATATATATATATATATGTGTGTGTGTGTGTATACATATATGTGCATGTGTATGTATGTATGTGTGTGTGTGTGTGTGTATATATGGCTTCTCAGGTTGGTTGCGTTTTAAAAAAAAGAAGAAGAAAATGCAGAAATGATCCAAAAACACATTCAACTCTCAAAATTCAGCCCAAATATTTCGCAGAACGTAGTTCGGACAGAGATGTGGACCAGACCAGCTGCTCTGAGCCTCCTTGACAAGAACAAAACCAGAAAGTCAGCGTGGGTCAAATAATGAAGCAAATTCACACTCTGGCCTTTGATAGGGAGCACTGGATGGACCTGTGGACGGTCCGAACTCTGGTGATCTTCAGTCGAGCTTCTTCTGTGGAACAGACACGACCACATGTTCTGGTGCCGTTCTGGTGCCGTTCTGGGCTGCTGAACTGGCTTTAACGTTTTATTGCTGCTTTTTGTTCTAACTGAGGTTTGATGGAAATAGCGTTTGTTCTGATAGCACTAGTGGCTAGAGAACCGTGTCTACGTGTGGAGGAGGAATACTGGTATTGATAAGAGAGACTTTTGTGTTGAACACTCAGTACCGGTACCGGTATCAGAACCAGTGAATCATTTGCAGCTGCGGCTCCGCAGCAACGAAACACGTTCATCTGTTGGCTGTGAATGGACCGACACAGCTCCATGCTAACAGCAGATAGATGTGACCGAACCGTCCCCAGAACAGCTCCACAGCAGCCCCCAGCTACTCACCACATAAAGGATGTTGAGGGCGCACAGTGCGTTCTTGGTGCAAACGAACCCGCCGCAAACCATCGCTGCTCCTGCGCGCAGCTCGTTGAGGTGACGATGAAGATGAAGATGAAGGTGTTCGTGCTCCGTCAGGCCCTCCGAGGATCTCCGGCTGTTGGCGGCCGCAGGTGCGCAGCTGGAGAGCCGGCGGTGTTTCCTGGAGAGACGCTGCGCGCTGATTTGTCGGCTGCCTCGTATGACTCACTCCTTATTGTTCCGCATGAAGCCAGAGTCCGACCCACAGGTTCTGGCTCCGGCGGGCTCTGGACAGCTGAATCTAACCACACAGCAAAGCAGAGGGGAAAGCTGACTGTGTTACACAATAACATCTGTTTGCTTCACCTGGATGACAGGTGCAAGTTTCTGGTTGTCTGTGCTCAGCTGCTCTCTGCTTCCCTCTTGTGGCTACAGCGCGCTACAGCAGCGGAACTCTGTCATCTTTGTGCTCATTTTGTGTTTGTTTGCAGTTGTGTTGAGTCTCTGCAGCCATCAGCTCTCTCCTTTTCTTTGTAGCCATTTTGTGTTGACTTCAGGGGATTCTTGTGTCTAATTTGTCCCTTTGTGGTGTCTCTGTGGTCACTTTCAGGTCCGTCCCTGCTCAGGTTGTGTCTCTGTGGTTGTTAAATGCCTCTGTGGTCATTCTGTGTCACATTTTTAGAAAGTTTGTGCGTCTCTGTGGTGGTTTTGTGTCTCGTTGTCGGTTTGCATCTCCTCAGTTGTGTCATTTCTTTTGCAGTCCCTTGTGTCTTGTAGTCATTTCACATCTTTGTGATCATTTCGTTTGTTTTCTGTCTTTTCTAGTCGCTTTGCATGTCTTCATGGCCCTGTTGCGCTGCACTGTGGTGATGTTTGTGTACCTTTGCAGTCAGATCATGTCTTTTTGTGGCTGTTTTATATCTTTAATATTTTTTGTGTCCCTTTGTGGAGGTTTTGTGTCTGTGGGAGGTCAGTTTTCATCTTTATGTGTGTATTTGCTGTTGTTTTGTGTCTATTTTCTGTTTTTTGTCTCTGTGAACGTTTTTACCTCTCTGTAGTCACACTGTGTCTCTTTACGGTTGCTTTAAGTCTCTTTGTGGTTGTTTCGTGTCTTTTTGTTGTCGGTTTGTCTTCAGATGTGTGATTGAAGTTTTATTGGTCTACATTCCAACCAATAGAATTCCAGAGAAATGTCCTCAGTGTTGAAAACATACTGACAAGAACATGTTTGTCAGAACTGCCAACCATTCAGATGACTGAGGATGCTGCTGCTGTTGGCGTTTTGCTTTAAACATTCATTCATGACCAGTTCTTAGCCAGTGAAAGCTGACGTGTGTTTCCGTCCTCGCTGAAACCACCGTTGGCCTAGATTACAACACTCAGCCAAAAAGAAGAAGTGTGCATCTTGTAAATTCAATTTATCTGCGTCTGAAACCAACTGATCTGCGGTGACTTAACTCTGTGTTTCTGCCTCTGAATTGTTAATTATAAATCAGGAATAATGGAGGAAGAAGTAAGTTACACAACGGTGATTTTCAAGACGAATGAATCTTCTACACTCGGTGAGTCACAGATCTTTTACAATCCTGACTGATTTGGAACACGAAGCTCTTGTTAGCTGCTAAAGTACGATGGATATAGACAAGAGGTACTTTATGTTCCTGCTACTTTAAACTTCTGCATTCAGTCTCCATGTAAGAGAGGATTTGTACCTTTAACTCTGCATTTGTTTGATAGAACAGTTACTATTTGCAGGTTAATAGATTTTGAACACAAAGCCTGTAGTTTGTTGGTGATTTTACACACAACTACCAAGTTCAGGTGAGTTTCACTGACAGAATAATCCTGTAGATGGGGAGTGTGTGCCTCAGACGGGTCAGATTTACTGATGATCTTCTCTGACCGCGCACTAGTTGTCCCTATTCCAGTATTTCAAACAAAGTGACTCACACCTCGTTCTCTCAGCGTGTCTTGAGCCAGTAGATGCTCACGCACAGAGCAGATGAAAAGGAAGGTAGAGGTGACGGGGGTAAAAGGTGCAATGGGAGTGAAAGGTTAGGAAATCTGCCACAAGCTAACCGTCTCATTTTCAAGTTAATTCAATTCAGAGAACTTTTTTTTGTCCCCTGGGGCAATTTAAGGCACACACAGCAGATGGGGACATAACGGTAGCAACAACTGTACAGTGATAGCAGCAGCCATGTGGTGGTTTAAATCAGATAAATAAAACTAAATGTCCATCATCCATCATCTCTACACCTTCATCCTCACTAGGGTCTTGGGGGCGGAGTCTATCCCAGCTGACTCAGGGTGAAGGCAGGTTCACCTGGACAGGTAACCAGTCTATCACAGGGCTACACTTAGAGACAGACAACCAAGCACACTCACATTCATTCATCTTCTAGCTGTGAGACGACAGTGCTACCTGCTGAGCCACTGTGCAGTCCAAAATTAAATGTAAAAATTAAAAATAGAATATGCTGAGATAAGAATAAAGTAAACTATCATATAAACAACAAACAATCTAAAGAAGGTGCTGAAATGGATCAGAGCTCAAAGTGACTTTAGCAGCATGATAAATAAGGAACAGAATGACATGAGATGTAATTAAGGTGCAGGTGGACTGAAGACAAGTCAGTACAGTATGGAGCATTATGACCCTGTACGTATGGAATGTGCAACGTGTCAATGCACTCTTAGACGGTCTTCTTTCCATCAGTTTGACAGTCTGAGAATGTGTTGGCTTCATGTCTGGCTTTCCTGTGAAAGTGGAAACAGCAATCGGACCAGAAGTAAAGCTTCTGTATTACTTTCACCTTGGCACAAGTCTAAACTGCAGTTTCACTAACTGATAGGCATGCACAAGTGATACCTGTGTGTGAAGTGATTTGGGGAAGAATTTTCACATTTCAGTCCAAATGTTGGTCCAAAAATATCCAAGAGAGCAAAAGCCAGAGTTCCTCATTCACTTGGATCTGCAGCATCACCTATATCACAAACAGAAATGTCCACAAAATGAAACTTTCCTGCAGTGAGGACAGGGTTTCTGAGCTCTATCAAGATGATAACAGAAGCTAAAGTTCAGGTTGTTGCTTCCATAGGGTGACCATATTTTGATGACCGATGACTCTTTGCCCAGAAATGAGATACTCAAATGATGCTGGAAGTTTACTCCGTTTCGTGGCCCACTGAAAACCAGTGAAATGCAGGACGTTCTCATCACTTCATAAAGAACAACCAGGACATGAAAACAGGACGTGTGGTCACGCTAGCTTAGAGCTGTTTGCTGCAGTTTTTCCTCTTGGTTATTCATTACCTACAGCATCAGACAGCAACAGGATCCATAAGATCAAATTTACATTCCCAGAAGTTTACATCCACTGTATAAAAAGACATAAACCTTTTTTTTTCTGTCTGACATTAAATCAGACTCAATGTTTCCTGTTTTAGGTCAGGTAGGATCACCAACATTAGTTCTATTTGCTAAATGCCAGAATAATAATTTTACTACTTCCTTCAAAGTCAGAAGTTTACATCCACTAAGATCCTTCAAACTATCTGGGAAAGCCCAGATGATGATGTCATGGCTTTGGAAGCTTCTGATTGGTTAATTGACAACATGTGAGCTACCTGGAGGCTCACCTCAAACACACTGCTGCCTTTGGTGACAACATGGAACATCTAAAGGAACCAGACATGACATCAGGAGGAGAATTGTGGACCTCCACCAGTCTGGTCCATCCTCGGGTACAACGTCCAGATGGCTGAAGGTTCCACGTTCATCTGTTCAGACAGTTCTATCAAGTAGAACCACCATGGGAATGTCCAGCCATCATAGGCTCAGGAAGGAGACGGTTCTGTGTCCAGAGATGAAGTGTTCTGGTTGAAATGTGCGAATCAACCCCAGAACAG